TCAGAATTAGCACAATAAACTTAGCAAATAGAAAGCCAAAATCAGAGCATGATAAAGTACAGCCACACAGCTTGACGTTTGAGAGGATATATATATTATAACGGCTATCTTATCTGTTTTCAAAGTCAGTTTCTTTATTACAAGCGAAAACACGTACGTTTGAGAAAAGCCGTTAAATAAAAAAAAAAAACACATCTAGCAGCAACAGTCTTCTCGAGTGCACTGTACAAGTCAGTTAATATTATTTAAAAAAGTAACTATACAATTACTTTATAGGTATTCTTTTAATAGTTGGTTTTTGATTTAATAATATAAACTTCAATTATCGTTCATTTTTCTGTGTCTGTGCTCACACATATGAGCCATTCTTGATTAAGTCGGACGGATTTCGTAAAAAAAATTATGTCATGTTCTATACATGAAATAAGCTAACCCGTGTTCGAGGAATTTTTTTCTTCTTTTTTTCTTCGGATATATGATCTGTCAAAGTTTGCATTTTTTCGTGATTCTGACTAATCATGTACTTCTTCAAATCGTTATATCTCAGGTTCTGCTGAGACTTCATCTTAACGTCTTTTTAAAGCTAAGAAACGGGCTTAACATTTCTATATGGTCAAGATTGTCCTAAATCTAACTTAGGTATGAACAGTTGAAATTTTTGAAGTTTATTTGCATAGTGAAGACCAGTAAATTATGGATTTAAAATTATACCACCGTAATCCTTGCTTTATTCTCTATAAAAGAACGTGGCTCAAAAAAATAGGCGTTTTTCAAGAACTGTTTTAAAAATATTTTTCTTTATGACGAGATGGTTTATTTTGTGAGAATCAATAGTTTTTTGTATTTTTTTTTTTTCGAAAACTTATGTTAAGATATATTTGGTAAGGTGTTAAACATCGGGTCTTTGCATAAAGTAAAATTTTATTGCGGATATCCAGATATATTTGTATGACAAGATTTTTCTTTAAGGCGACAAACCCCTAGAAATGGGCGTGGCAATTGCAGGACTAAAATTAGCAAAACGCAGATTTTATTTCGGGTTTGGGCAGAATATCGCGTCGTTTCCAATACTTGTTCCACAACTTTTTCAATCAAAGAATATTCTAGAAAGAAAGTTCGAGTTAGCTTAGTCAAATGTGTTCCTTTAAGCTCAGATGGACTGTATGTAAGAAACGCGACTTCTTTCATTTTTGATTTTCCCTGTTGTCAATAACCTTCAATCTCTTTGAAGATCGCTCTCCAATTTCGAGTTAAAAAAGTTTGATGAACATATGGATTCTTTAACGCTCACGCTCGGGACATATCTGACTTCGGAACCATTCTATGTTTCACATAAGTCCAGATTGGCAGTTATTTTGACTAGCACGGAAATGACCTTACCACATTTGCATATGCACGTGGACATGCGCCTTCGCATTTATTGGAATATTATGTGAATATTTAAAGGGTGAACACACCAAAACTGCGACACTTTGGGAAGCATATAACTTACCCAAAACGAATTCAATATTTTGAAATTCAAATACCATAAGCTGACCACATGACCTTAGTTGGACGTAGAAGAAATTTCATTTGAATTTGATTCCTAGTTGAGTTAAAAATGGCAACCGAGTTAGAAACGAGACAAACCATTTTGCACGAGTTTATAAATGATCCGGCCTTAAGTACACGTAAAATTGCTTAACAATTAAAGAGTGCACTATTCGACAGTTTGCAGGGTCTTAATCGGTACAAATAAGGCCTGACGTTTACGAGAAAACCAGGGAGCGGGGGTTAGCATGGTCAAAGTGATAAAAACAGTGCTCGGAAGGTCCTCAGTGCGTTTTCGCGAGATCCGAAGATTTTGTCGCGTTATGTTGCAAAATCCGTACGGAGATCGCAGTTTTTCGTACAAAAGGTAAAGCGGAAAGGTTCTACAGCTCAAACAGCGCCAGACCGAGGCGCAAAGTAGAATGTTACAGCGAAATCCCGCATACGGAAGTTGTATGAATTCTAAATTAAAAAATACAACTGCATTGTTTTGGACTATGAAACCTATTGCTATAAAAATTCAAAATATATTGCAGGTCAAGATTTTTATACTGCTGCAAGTCGTCAAGATGCCCCTGAAAGTTGTAAGCTGAAAATGAAGTCCAAATTTCCAAAAAACCACATGGTTTGGCAAGCTATTTGATCCTGTGCCCGTAAGAGCAGCCCTTTTTTCCCATCCGGGACAATGAATGATCAAGTTTATCGGGATGAGTGCCTCAAAAGGCGTCTTCTGTCATTTATCAACAGATAAGGAGTGGGCCACTGTTCTAGGCGGACGTGGGAACCTGCCACTATGCCAAGGACACATTGCCGTGGTATAATGCAAATAACATCAATTTTGTACCTCATGACTGCAATCCACCCAATAGCCCAGAGCCACGTCCTATTGAGGAATATTGGTCAATTTTCAAAGAAATCTTGAAGAAAACAGGTGAAACAGTGAAAAATATTGAAGAGTGCAAAACAAAGTAGTTGTGCGCATCGCGTAAAGTCGATGATGCAGTCGTGCAGAACAAGATGGCGCGTGTGCGATGAAAATACCGATCATTTGCATATGGAGCAAATTTTAACATTTTAATAACATCTAAACTTCCAAGTTATATAATACAAAAAAAAAATTATTTCAAAGTCTGCTAGTTTGTTTCTGGTAGTATTTTCTAAGTGTCGCAGTTTTGGTGTGTTCAGCCTTTATTAAACAATCAAATTTATCAACTTTACAAAATTTTATAATTTTTATCTTCNTCTAAACTTCCAAGTTATATAATACAAAAAAAAAATTATTTCAAAGTCTGCTAGTTTGTTTCTGGTAGTATTTTCTAAGTGTCGCAGTTTTGGTGTGTTCACCCTTTATTAAACAATCAAATTTATCAACTTTACAAAATTTTATAATTTTTATCTTCCAACTAAATTTAAGGAAATATCCCGCCCAGGGGAAACACCCCATGTATACAATATACATACTTGTATATATGTCAATATAAATAATCATTCATATAGCACCTTATAAATATAAAAAATACGAAAATTTCGGCTGAAAATCGAAAAAGCAACCATTTTGAAATTGGCACTTACCACGATTTTGAGCTTCGCGTATTCTGACTCGGGAACATCCACCCAAAATAGTCTAATTGAAAATTCCATCGTTCTAGACCGATTCAGTTGAATCTGGTTCAAGAACACCGTGTGCAATGAATGGCCGCAATTACTTGAGCATATCANGGCACTTACCACGATTTTGAGCTTCGCGTATTCTGACTCGGGAACATCCACCCAAAATAGTCTAATTGGAAATTCCATCGTTCTAGACCGATTCAGTTGAATCTGGTTCAAGAACACCGTGTACAATGAATGGCCGCAATTACTTGAGCATATCGGTCCCTAACGGAGTCTTGCCCTTACTTCCGCCGTTTTCTATTACTTCTGCTAAAGCTTATCACTGGGGTCAAGCTTCAATATGGAGGGATCGTACTGAATTTAATAAAATCTCGAAGATTTTAAATATTGGATTTTCCGCTAATAGGCAGTCATTTAGAAGTTTAACTGAAACTACCTATGTATTTGTAGCTTAGTTTTTTCACCGTAATCATTTTTATAATCATAGGCTTAATAAACACTCCACGCCCTCTAAAATATATGTAGCTAACTTTGAATTTTCGAAAATTAGCGTTCAAAGATTGCGCAATGCGTATATCGGTTTTGATATATGTAGATTAGTAAGTGGTATTCCATAAGAAAAATAGCTTTTTAAATTTACTGAATGGAAACTCCTCACAGTCTAAGTGCCGTTTTCTCATGTAGGTTTTAAAATTTATCTGCCCTTCAAACCCATACTGCTGTAATCCGAATGTTCGTAGTTACGAATTCGTAGCTCCGTTCCGAAAATTGGAAAATTTATATGCTGTAATCCGACTGTAACTATCAGCGGCACTACCAGCTAAAAACGTGAAAATGAAGAACAGCTAACAGTTACATTAATATACAAAGGAGATTGTTCTGATCCATTTAGCTTAACCCTTCGGAGGGAGCGCTATGAAAGTTAGACGAGAGAGCTCGCCGCGGCAATTTAGCCGCAAGGTGTATCTCAAAGGTTGACTGCATTTTTTCTTATTTATATCGAAAAATCACTCAAATAAATCATTTCAATGATTTGTATTTATACTGAAACATATTATAAGCATTTACTTTTTAAATTTTTAAGCGCCATCATCAACAGTGGTGTTGGTACATTCTACACATTGTGAAATATGCTTGCAATGTTTTCTGCAAACATTTTTGTTACAATTAATACAACAAATTTTTTTCTTATTATTCCTGGAAAATATTCTTGGTTTAAATTTTTGTTGCGTAGCTGGTACGCTTCTATATAAGTTTAAAAACATCTCCTTTTTTGTTATTGTTGTTTCCGAAAGAACGAAAATGACACTGAAGATGGCAAAACGCCGAAACCGGTTTGTCCCCGAACCAAATTTGACAAGGGATACATTATTTAAAAACATCCTTTTTTTCTAAAACTTAAGAAAATGAATATCATAATAGTTACAATGTGTACACAAAGTACACGCACATTATAATTTTCAAATTACATATGACAGAATACTTAAAAAATAATGTGATTTAGACCCTTATCACAAACTCACTTTTTCAACTATCTTTAAAAAAATTCGCGAGTTACATTAAAATTTTTTTGGTACACGGAAGGGCGCGACGCGGCAATTCATCCGCATATATTAGACACCAACTTTCACATACAAATATCAACTGAATATATAATGCAGCAAGTAATAGCTAACTGTGGACCATGCTGAATCTCAAAACTTACAAAGTCACTAAGTGGCAGTGGCCGGCTACTACAATTAGTATTTGAAAACCACAAATTACAATTTTTGCTTATTTGCCGCGGTGCGCCCTGCGAAGGGATAAATGACAAAATGCAAGTTCCCTCCTTTTAAGGGTCTCCATTTCACTAGATATTGTGCCGCTTTAATTCTTGCAACGCTTTCCGAAAATTAGCCTACATCCTCTTTAGCTCCTTTTACAAAGCCTTGAGCGATTTGTTGTGATCTTCGACCTGATAATTTTGTAAACATTTAATAATAATTTTTTTTTCTATTCACACTTCAACTTACATACATATTTTTGCGTTTACACACTTTATTTCATTGATATTTTAAAACAATTTGTTTTGCTCTGACACGAGTTGCTATTCGTACAAAATTTCCGAAAAATACATATAAATGATATCTACGTTGGATTCAGGTATACCAACATTACGAATTTCGAAGATGGCCTACGATACGACAACGCGGATTTCAGCATATCAATTTTACTATTCGTAGCAAAATCGAATTTACGACGGATTACACATAGGGGTGATATTGTCAGAACAAAATTTGTGTTTAACGGGCAGATAAATTTTAAAACCTACATGAGAAAACGGCTCTACATCTAACAGTGGATCCTATTTAAGTAAGAGGTCTGCAATCAAAAAAAGCAATTCCTTCGTTTTTAGTCATAGGACCCAACATATATATGTATATTCATAAATCATTTTGATCGTATTTTTAAAACGTATGTGATTTTTAAAATTGGATGAAAACTAATTAATCTATTACTAAAGAAGTGCGTCAAGGTACGAAGATAACTGGAGGTATTAGAAAAGGCAGCATGCTTTCCCGCATACAAGTGAAAATTTCAAACAGCATATATAATTTTTATTTTAGTACCGTACTGGCAGAGAAAAAAGTAAGTTAATGGAAAAGGAAACTTGGCACCTCCCATATAAACTCAAATTATGATGACACATACCGCTGGAAGCATATAGCTAGAACTCTGACATGCGCTACTTCATCAATATCGCATTAATGAATTAGAGTTCGAAATATTAAATTACGGGCACGAAACCACCAGAAAAGTTATATGTATATTATGTAGTTTCATATGTATTACGATAAGGACGTCTACCAAGCACACGATATTAAAATTCCATAATTTTAACCTCCCTAATAGCTTATTTCCAGCAGAGGCTTAATTGCAGTTAACAGATAAGTTCCAAGAATTTCAACGTAGGGTGAGCGGCAAGGTTTATTTCTTAGTGTTTGCTTTCCTCCTTTTGTTTGCTTGTACTTAGTAGGAGGATTTACCCCCTTCGAGTTGTAATCTTCTTGTTCCAATAGGCATAAACAGCAGTTAAGACTTAGTAGAAATGAACTATAAGTATCTTAACTCGTTTGTAATTATACAGATTAAGAAAAAGGAGAGTACAAATAAAAATGTATAAAATATTTAACTTAATTTACATATACGTATGTAATATGTATATAAAACGTAGGGTGAAACACATGGCCATAAACTAGTTGACAATAAGTTACACTTCGTCTTACCTGTCAAATATTCTTGCTTCTTTAAGGACATTTCCCAAATTGATATAGGCATCAAGAAAGTTAGGGTCCAAGGTGACAGCTTTTTCAAAGTGATGTATTGCCAACCAAATTTCGCCTTGGGCATTAAAAACACATCCTAAATTACTCCAAGCCACAGCAAATCCTGGGCATGTTTCAATTGCTTTTAAATAGCAAGCCTAAAAAGAGTTTAGGTTAGATATTTCTTATAATCATATACGATAAAAACAAATTCAAAAATTACATTTAGCATAACATATATAACATACATATGTAACTTATATACACCAGAGAACTGTAATAACGACTTTTGGAGATCCTTATATTGCCAGATTATTCGCTTTTAACTTTAGTTATTGCACCTGCGTGTATGCGTGCAAAATGCATTTACTTACAATGCATTCGAACAAATCGTTGGCTTAGTGTACAAGCATGCTAAGTCCACTTTTTATAAAAATTGAGATTTTAGTGCAGCAAGATAGCACAAGGGAGAGCCTCAATATTGAAATGCCCAAACACGGAATCTCCACTCTTTTTTGGAGACAGTGTCACATAATGCCCAAAACATAAAATCCCCAAAACACAAAAACACGAAAACCCCAAACTTTTGAATAAATGATATTACCGATCATAAAACCAGTAGCGCAAGCCGACTCTTACCTTTGTTCTGATTCGTAGTTATGTACATACACCCGATTTACACGTTTCAACTACTTGAAAGCAATTCTTGTTCATTATCTTTTGTCTTTTAGACTTGCTTTAGTTTTTTGAATTTAAGTTGTTCGTTCTTTTCGTGGGAAATAACGAAAATGTCAAAAGCAAAGCCAAAAACTTTTTTGACGGTACTCTTTCCCTTTTCCTCACACCCCGTCTCTTCGATATCAGAATTGAATTCAAACATTAACCCATGGTGCAATAAACAAGCGAAGTAATAAATCAGATATATCGATTTATTTTATGTCAATCGAATATCGTATAAAGAATTTTTAAGACAATTTTCAAATAACATAGTGTAAAATAAATATAAATCCTTCTTCTCGATCTTATTACTTCACCTGGTACAATTTCACCATGGCTTGAACCGTGTAAAACCGTCATACATATTATCAATTTATGACCATATTTATATATATTTATGTTCGCACATGTATGTACATGTACACCGTTACGTTATAACTGATTATTTCGTTATTTTCATTTATAACCTATTTGAGATCTATATCCCACAATATTTCACTTTGCATTTAAAATTTGTATTTGTGTTTTCATCTTTAGCTTTAAACTATTTTGATAAAGAAATATTAGGGCTGTTCACGATCTTGTGCATATGTTCTTATATTTGCATATTCGTGACATTTGTAAATTCGCAACAATAAAATGCACACGGTTATCATGGCAGCAAGCATAAAATTTGCAAATCCAAGGCCATTTCCACAACAGCCTTTTGCAATTTTGCATTTATGTTTTATGTAAATGTCTTGAAGGATGAATTTTTGATTAAGATGTACTACATTTTCTTTAACCTAATAAATTTTTGCGAATTCATTACACAATTCGTTTTGAATTTTAATTCGAGAAATAATGTCGAATCATAATTTTCTGTGTGAAATACATTCAAATTAATTTGATGTCCAATCGACATGTTTGGTCTTGTAGAGTGTGTCCAGAAAATATATTCAAGCTTCGTAAACGATTAACCGGATTCTTAAAAATTTGGCTAAAGTGTTGCGAAACAAAAAACGTTTTTTTGCTTTTGTCGGTTTAAGGGGGCATGTGGGCACACCCAACATATTTAGTGTTATTCTATAGGCCAATACCTTTCAAACGATACCTTATATATTAAGTTCCGGCTACTAGTTGGAATGATATAGAGGTAAATGTGTTTTGGTTCGTGTCTCCACTACGAGATGCTTCGGTATGTATGTGGCGTCTGTACGTACCATCATTTAATTTTTTTTCAAACTTTCAGGAATTAAAGTACACAAAAAACTAAGAAGGTTTTGTTCCAGGATGTTTTGATTCGTATGCCTGTGTGGGCGTGGCTGCTGCCTGAAATTCGAAAAAAGGCAATTTTTTAAACTACCACTGAGGCCGCACTACTCAGTCCATGTCATTGATGTGGATATCAGTAGAAGGGTCTTCAAACAAGCTATCTAACGCTATCTTTTGTGTTTATAAAATATAAATACGCTATAACGTTATCGCCTGAAAACTAAAAATCGGGCTGCTGAAAATAGAGATTTCGGGCATTTTCTCAAAAACTGGTCAGTCGATTTTATTCTAAGTTTCCACAAGTCTAGCCCAAAACCTTAGCTTTCATCTGGTATATAGCTTATATCTGGGAAAACTCTTGTTGTGGAGATATTGCGATTCAAATTGAAAAAATGTCGCTCCAAAAAGGGTCAAATGGTTAAAAAATTAACATATCCGTCTAATTTGGTTACTTTA